ATGCGCTGGTCTAGATTGTGGGCTCCAGCTCCAGCCCTCCATGTGAATCCCTGCTTTTAGACAGCATCTGATGCTGTCTTTTATAGTGATCAAGCATAAGCCCACAAGGGGGGTGAATTGGATGGGATCCATTGCAAGGCTGGATGTGGGGCGTTCATTATTGCAAGTTTTGTAGCTGCCTGCGGCAAGTTTGAGATGCAAGCTTCGATCTGTGGAGCTGGTTGTTGGTGCCTTCAGGCTTTGTGGCAAGTCACCTTCTGCTGTGGGGTCTAAGCAACTCTAAGAAATCTGCGAATGTTACTGAGCTGTCGTAGCCATCTCCTGAAGCAGCAAGGGGTGCAGCTGAGCTTTTAATGGTTAAACGATATGTTACTTCTGTGCCACAAAACCGATGGCAGAGCTGTGAGTATTGCAGGGTTTGTGCTGATCATCCATGTCATGATGTGGGGAAATGCTGGTGAGTCTAAGTTCTCCCATTCTCTCTCCTAGGGGACTTCCTTCCTCCACCCCCACCTCCTGTGGATGACCTCGGGAACATCACATCATCACAAGGTGCCTTTCCCCCCCCACCCCCTCTGGATGACGTTACTTTCAATGTGCAGGTAAGAAGACGAGAATTTTATCGTTCATGCAGAACTGATCCAAAAATTCTGGAAATGAATGAACGATAATAAAATGAGGTGGCAAAGTGCTGTGGTTAGAAATCATGTGTCAGGAACAACCAAATCAGCTTTAGCAAGCAGTGTTTCCCAAGTAGGGAATATTTCCATTCAAAACTTGCTGGGCTATTAAAGGATTTTTCCCATCCATCTTGAATTAGAAGACTAATTGCCCTATGTCCTTGTGTTGGCAGATGGGAGTGAAACCTTCCCAGAATGAATTGTTTTCTGGAAGAGCCATCTCCTTCCATGGACTGTGGAGAGACTTTAGGACGGTAATCCGATCCTAAAAGTCATTTGTTTAGATGCCTAAAATTAAGGGAAGCAAATAAGCCCTGGCCCAGGCTCCAGTGATGTCACTGAGACCCTTTTCACCCCCTTTTTGCTGGCTTGGGTCCTCTAGATTTGCCATCTTGGATGAGAGTGCAACTCCTAAGATGCATCAGGTGATGATGGCATGTTCTGTGTGGTTAGGGACGTACCTTGAACACCTTTGAAAAGTATGAACAGTCTGTCTTTGTGCAGACATTGCTGGCTTGCCTGGAGTGCCGGGTACTGTTGTGTTAGCTCAGGCACATTCAGGAGAGATGTGTTCAGACTGCAGGGACAGGCTGTCAAGGTGATCAAGGAGTAAGGAGCTGATCTTGCCAGTGGAGACCAGAAGAGTTTGGCTTGTTAGCTGAGCAAAAGGAAGACTGGGGGCGGGGTATGGTTGCAAATTTCAAATACGTTTGGGGAATAAGCACCAGAGAAGAACTGTTTCAGCTCTGGGTGCGTGTTGGTGCAGGAACGGGAGAGGCTGAGCTTGCCAGAAGTACCTTCATGCTGGTGTTTAGAAAGTTTCTAAGCACTGAGGCTGCAAAGGTCTGGAAGAGCCTTCTGGGAGGAGTAGTGAGAGCAAAGCGAGCGTGATCTAGGTTTGAGGCTGATGAAAGTTGTGTAACCACATATACGCAGCCATGGGGCTGCTCTTGATGACCCTGGAAGGTTGTGGCAGTCCTGTGTCCCTCAATGGATTTCAACCTGAGAATAGGCTAGCGGGCAGATATTAAACAGGATTCAAGAGACCTGACTTAGTTCCTGACCCCGCCACAAACTCTAGAGTCAATTCATCTACTTTGTGCCTCTGTAAAAAGAAAACATTTCCCTCCCTTGTGGGCTTCCTGTGATCTCTTGCCTGTGGTGAGATGTTCAGATGCTATCACAAAGTCTCAGCGTGTTCCTGCAGTGGGCTCACTGTTACAAGCAGCCTTCGAGAGGGAAGGGGTTAATGAGGATTGCGTTCTCCCTTGCCAGGAAAGGCTGCAGCCGTCAGGGACATTAGCCAAGTGCGGAGCATGGCTTTTCCCAGCCTTGGGGGAATGAAGTAATTCCCCAGCAAGTGTTGTTCTGTCTCGTATCTCTCCGAGAAGAGTGGACCCCGTGGGAGCAGGGGAGGTTCCAGACCGCCCTGGGAAGCGGCGAAGCAGCAGGCTTCCGGCGAGGGCAGGGTGCTGCCTGCACCGCTGCCTGTGCGGGAGCCTGGGCAGCAGGAAGGGGTCGTGGTGCCTCACGTGCTTCTCCGGGGCCAGGCTTCCCCCTTGCCAAGTCGCTGAAGGAGGGGACCTTGCTGTGTTTATTGGAAGGGGCTCGTGTCTTCAGGTCCTCATTCCTCCCTCCTGCAATGGGTCCAAAGATGTGCCCCTTGGTAGAACCACCCGATGGGACACCTCTTTCCCGCTGAGCTCTTGAAATTGCTATTTGTCACACCCTTTCTCTCTGGCTTTGGGAAGCTGGGGCTGGAGCCATGTTCACAGCGTTGGGTTTTGGCAGGAGCTTGGTTAGAGCGAGATTCCTTCATGTGGCATCCCGTTTGGAGGAAGGCGAGCCTACCAGTCGTACCCCAGCACTCCTGCCCGTCACCACCCCCAGACGTACTTTGCGCAGCAAATGCAGGTCCCTGCCTTTAATCTGTGCTCTCTTGTCACCTTTTTCCCCTTTCTTTTCCCTTCCATCCTCTGAAGGAGATTGGGAGCCGACAAAAGCCAGGGCTAAGTCAGGAGCCGGCGGGGTCTCGCGTTGCAAGATCAGGTCCTTATCTTGCAGGAGCAGCAAAAGCCATGCTGAAGCAAGGTGTAAGGCCCGAGAGATGAGGGAAAAGGGTAGGTGGCGATGGAGAAAGCTGCTTGATGCCGTTGCACATTGAACACAATCATTTCCATGACTGCAGACGGAGGTTCCTGTGCTGAAGGAGCAGAACAAATGGTGGCTGTGTTCCTTCTGCTGTGAATCCTTTCTCAGCCCTCAGGACATGGTTGCCTGAAGGCAGGGATCTCATGAGCACATGTTGGAGCCTGATCCAACAAACTAAAGCCAAGCCTGATTCTGCTCTCTGATGCCAGGACACTTCATTTCCATGCCTCAGTTTCCCCGTTGCTAAATGTAAGTGCTGGAGCCGATGGCCCCATTCCTGAGCATGAACCAGATCTGAGGCTGCTGCCTGGGGTGGTTCGGCCCCTGCAGACCCAGCGCGAGCCCTCCAGATTTACTCCAGAGTTTGAAATTTATCTGCTCCAGAAAATCAGCCCTTTTACAATAGAAATTTCTCTCTGGATGGCAGAGTGCTGATAACAGCTTATAAAATGTGTGCGCTGTGGCTCCAGGTAAAGCTTTTTATACTAGGTGTTAAGTTGATGAGGGCAGCAGAATATATATGTTTAGTTTATTATCATTTCATGTGTTACTGTTAGCAGACAGCTAAAAGCTGCACAGATTATTACAGTTTAAGTTGTAACTTAAGAGCAGCAGTTAAAATAATAATGTCCAGTTTTCATAGGCCTGTTTATCTCTGGATCTCTATTTGGACAGTGGAACCGGCCACTTAGGATCAGAGCCAAAAAGGTACTTTAGTATCTGACTTCCCTTGAGGTGCTTATGCTCTGGTGGAAATCAGAGGAGGACTGGGTCGTGAAATACCTTTGCAATAGATCTGGCATTTTCTTGTAATTTTTGTTTTCCTACCTAGATACGTCATGTTCGGATTCACAGCAGGGCTGGGGAGGAAAGCGGAAGGAAATCTAAACTCTTTTCTTATTAACTGTAATACTTTAAAAATAAAAAAAGAAAAGGAAATTTTTATTTAAAAAAAGAGTGTGTTGGGGCTGGGGGAGAGTTGTGTTGGAAGTTCCCCTTCGGCTGAAGTCAGCCGGCGAAGGCGAGGGCTTGTTCCCAGAATGGTGGTGAGGGCGCGGCGATGGCGTGTTTGACAAATAAGGACATGAGCAAAGAGCCTTTTGCCACGTTGGCTTGGGCTCAGTTTAAAAGAGGAAAAAAAAAAAATCCTGGACGGGAAGAAAAATGAAATCACTGTTTGTCAAAGGGAAATAGATATATCTGGGAGGGAGGGAGGCAGATTTTTATTATTTTTTTTGCCTTCTAGTTTCAAAACAGTCATTCTGCCCAGGCCAGGGAAAGCAACAGTGAAAAACTCTCATACGCGATCTCTCAAGTGCCCTGTTTGCTCACAGAGAGGGACCCTCGTTCATGGCGCCGGCAATTTCTTCTTTCCTCGCCAGGCAGGGTTGCTCAGGGATGAGGACCGCGCGCAGCGGTGCGAAAAGCCGGTCACTGCTCCACGTCCCGTCCCCGGGAAGGCTGGCTCTGGAGCTGTGTGTGCTACGGGTGCATCTCGATAAGCTGTATCGTGGGGGCTTCAGATCTCCACCGGCTTTGAAATGACCAGTTCTCCTTAAAGGAGAGGTTCAGAGCCCAGCGTTTTGTGTCGGGGCAGGACCTGGGTGTCTCAGAGCAGATGCAACTCTCAGCTGCAGACCTGCCAAGGGCCACCTTGGAAAAAAATGCATTTAGGAATTGCTGCTCATTACCCACAGGTGCTGTGTCTGCAGTGTGGGTCTGATTTTCATTTGGGACCCTATAGATGCTACCGCAACACGGAAAGGAGAGGATTGTATTCAGCTGGGAGATTGCCCCTTTCCCAACAACCCCTGGCTGTTATCAGTGTGTGTTTTATTGACAGGCCACAAAACACTTCACAAAAGAAATACCAGTCTCTCCCTGATAAGGAAGCTGAAGCAGGGAAAGTGCCTTGCCTAGGTCACCAGGCTGACCAGCGGCAGGCTAAAAATAGGACCCAGATCTCCTGCGTCCCAGAGCAATTCTGTTTGCTACATTGCACAACCTCATTCCTGTAAAAACTGCGAATTAATGTGTAAATACCATCAGTGGCTGAGACCAGAAAGAATTTGGGATATACCAAAAAGGATGTGCAAAAGTGGTTTAGGATGGGGTTTAGAGTGAAGAAACAATCGGACTTTGAATAGTTGCATGAAGGGTAGATTTAGATTAGATATTAGGAAGTAATTCTTTACTGTGAGGGTGGTGAGGCACTGGAACAGGTTGCCCAGAGAAGTTGTGGATGCCCCCTCCCTGGGAGTGTTCAAGGCCAGGCTGGACGGGGCTTTGAGCAACCTTGTCTAGTGGACAGCATCCCTGCCCATGTCAGGGGCAGTGGAACTAGATGATCTTTAAGGTCCCTTCCAACCCAAACCATTCTATTATTCTATGATAAAATAGCTTAATACACCAGTTCTTGTTATAACCACCTATGCATGGGAGGGGCTGTAGTGCTGCGCTGTATGTGGGCAGGAGCTATTCTCACGTTCAGACCTACTGGACTCACGGACCAGGTTGTATTGTCCTGCTCCGATATGCAGGAAATCAGCCAAAGGGCTCAAATTCCTATTGCCAAGGAATTGTGGGAGGAGAAATGCCGAAATGTGGTCTGAAGGCATATGCGCCTTCTTCTACGAGGCTGTTCAGAGGAGACCCGTCTCGTTCCTCCTTAGCGCTTGCGCCTGGGGGAAGGTGGGAACGTGTTGATAGACGTGAGCGGCGAGAGCCTCATCCTTGTTACGGAGGAGGCTGCCAGGCATTTTGCTGTCTGA